ATTTATTATTTCTATAGCTAGAAATGTTTTATACCTCCCTCGTTTCTATGTTTGGCAAAACATGCAAAAATAAGATAATCTAGTTCATATAAAGAGCCAAATCGTTCCTTTTTTAAAGGAACACTAAGTTTCTTGGCTTCAATTTGACATAAAAAGAATAAAGTACTGCCTAATTCATCAAATCCCAAAGTCTCCTAAGTACCAACTAATATATTTTTATCAGAAAGTCTGAATGAAATTTTTATTGAAGATACTGTTAGCACTCTTAATGGATGTTAATTCTGCCTTTGGTGTTTGAATACCTGTATGTAATTATTGGCTTGGGATAGTTTTTTGTGTGTATTTGCAGTGTGCATTAAATCCAGCTTTAAAGTCTGTGTTTAACAAATAGTAAAAAAAAAAAAAAAAAAACAGTTAATAGAATCAGAGGCACTTAAAAAAGAAAGTCTGGATTATGAAGTTAAAGGAGAAGAAATTATCACTTAACATAAATCTTAGTTCCAGCATATTGTCTTTCTTAACAAGATATTTTTTAATCTTTTTTTCCTCCCCTTCTCTTCCAATATATTTTTTAATCTTATAGATGACTTTTTGGTGCTACATCTTGCTGACTTAATTCGCATGGCTTTTATGGCTGCCACAGATCACAGTGACCAGCTGCGTCTTTCTGGCCTTGAAACACTATTAGTTGTTATTCGGCGATTTGCAGCTATTCCAGAACCAGAGTTTCCAGGTCATGTGATTCTGGAACAGTATCAAGCCAATGTAAGCACTTTCTGTTAGAGAATTTTGTTATTAAACATGTGGATAAAAAGTCTGTGAAACTAATTGGCATGTCACCTCTTAATTCATAAACAAGTAGGTATCTGTGCTGACATATCACAGTATAATCTGTATATAGAAAATGTGTGTTTGAAGAATAAATCTGCTAGCTAATATTTTATAAAGCTTCCAGCAAAAGCAAAGTGGTACATATCACAGGTCTTTTATAACTTTAAAGGTTAATTTTTATAATTAAAACCTTCTTGCTAATTTGGGGAAGTAGAGGACTTCAGTAGTGAAATCCTTTACAAAATGTGTAAATAAACAAGGTAACACTAAATCATTACTAAATATTCTATTTAGGCTACATGCCTGTTTTATCTTCAAATCATTACTCCTGGAATAGGATAGTATATATAACCTCCTTCATTTTTTTTTCCTAGATTTAGGAAAGGATTCAGGTTTCTTTTACTGGTTCTATAATAGTTTTAACTGATTATTTGACTGGTGCATTGAGCAAGGAAGACAACAAAATCACCTGTCTTGTAATCCTCTAGTAGCATTCAACCAAGGATATCTCTCATTATGGTTCAGAAGCAGCTTCTAATGGATAGCAGTTAGGGAGACCAGAGCAGTTCACCAGTTGGTTAGCAGTCTCTATCACTTACTCCTAGCAGGTAATACGAATGTATGCTTAGGGAAAAAGCAAAAGGAAAGAATTGAAGTTACATAGAACTATCATATTAGAATAAAATATTAAAATTCAACTTATTTAAGGGG